AGGACATTACTTTATGTACTGGGGCATCAAAAATACCAATAAATTTTAAAACAATAAAATGGTACAGAATATATTCTCTTATCAACACAGAATGTAAAATTGAAAACCAATAACAACATGATGGCAATGAAAAGCCCTAAATAGTTGGAAACAAACAAACAAAGGACATCTCAATAACCATGTATTAAATAAGAAATTACAGGAAAAGTTAGAAAATATTTTAAAGTGATTGATCATGACAAAAGGAAAAGATGAGGAGGTACAGCTAAAGACTAAATAGAGGGAAACTTACACCATTTAATGCTTGTATTAGGAAAGAATAGGTATTTAAAATCAATTATTTAATTTGGCAATTTAAGAATATAGAAGAAAGGAGAAGAAATTAAGCCCAAGTTAAACAAGATGAAGAAATTAATAAAATATAAAAATGGAGAATATCATTTTATATTTTATTAATTAAATATAAAGAAATCTTAAAAGTTGTTTTTTAAAAGATCATTAAAATTGATATACTCCTAGTAAGACTTATCAAAGAAAAAGAAAAACATAAAGGATTAATATGATGACTGAAGGAGTTATCAGTGCAGATCATACCAGATAGTAAAAGAGTACTTGTTAGAAAAAATTTTAAGCCAATAAAACCAACAGTTTGCTTAAGAGGTTTTATTTATTTAATTTTTTACTTTAGTATGTATGCATTTATTTATTTATTTATTTATTTATTTTATTGGTTCTTTTTAGTTATACATGACAGAAGAATCCATTTTGATATAATTACACAGTAATGAAGTATATCTTATTCTTGTTAGAGTCCCATTCTTATGGATTTACATGGTGGTGGGATTCAGTGTGTTGTTTTCATATATGTTCACGGGAAAACTACGTCAGATTCACTCTACTGTATTTCCTCTGCTTATTCCCCTTCCCTTCCCTCCATTCTCCATTGTCTAATCTACTACATTTCTATTCCTCCCCTTACCTACCCCCACCCTTTATTGTGGGTTAGATTCCATCTATCAGAAAAAAAACATTTGATCTTTGGGTTTTGGGCACTGGCTTCACTTAGCATGATAGTTTCCAGATCCATCCTTTTGCTGCCAAATGTCATAAAGTCATTCTATTTTTTTAATATATATTTTAAAATTTCATTTATAGATGGACACAATATCTTTATTTTGTTTATTTTTATGTGGTATTGAGGATCGAATGCAGTGCCTCACATGTGCGAGGCATGTGATCTGCCACTGACCTACAACCTCAGCCCCATGAAGTCATTATTTCTTATGGCTGAGTGATACTTCATTTTGTGTGTGTGTGTGTGTGTGTGTGTGTGTGTGTGTGTGTGTGTGTGTGTTACATTTTAGGACACCTCAGTTATGCGAGTTCCACCTGTAAAATACCATTTATGCAGACTTGGGTTAAGGATTCTCAGGGGATAGTCTTCCCTTCCCTCCTCCTTCTTCCCTCCATTCCCCTCCCTTTTCCCTTCTTGTCAATTTCCCTTCCTTTCCTTTTTCTTCTGCTACTTCCTTTCTGTTCTCTGCCCCTTCCTCTGTCCTTCTCCCTATCCTTTCCCTGTCCCTCTCCTTGTTCCCCATTCCTCCCTTCTCCTATGGCTTAGTTCAAGAGAGCAGGTTTCCTTAAGATCTTTTTCCGGAACCCTCCCTTTCCCATCCACTAAGAATGTCTTCTTTCCCATGTTTGGCCATTTGTTCTTTGATATGAACTCCTAGCAAGGTCAAGCCCGAGCCATTCTTATTTTATCTCCAAAAAATGCGATAGGAAAACTCACTCTGTGGTTTGTTTCTGGTCAAATGAGCTCTATGCAGAGGCACTTCATATTCAGACTCCCCAAGAGATATTCAGTGACTATGATAAAAATAATTACTTGCAGAAAAAATGTGGTTTTAAATGGATTTTTTCTTTTTGTCAGTGTCAGTATAACAAGGACATGTAGATTGAGTAAATGGACTTTAGAGGCACAGCTTTACATTATTTAGTTGGCTCCAACTTGGAAAAAAGATGAGGAGTCTTTCCCAAAGAGGAAATATGAGGACCCAATGGAATTAATTTGAACTACATATAAACTAGTTCAACTGATCAGAGCTAACACCTATATAATACTTACTATGAGTTCAGCACTAAGTGTTGCTTATATATTAACCCTTACTCGCTAACTAAGAAAACTGTAACCCAGAGAAGAGAAGTGATTTATCCAAAGTAGCTGAGCTGGTAGGCGATGGTGCTGGGATTTTAACCCAGATAGCTCACCCTATGTGTTTGCTTACCACACCACCTTGCCCTCTGCCTGCCCACCATGCAACATACCTGGTAGTAACTGGCATTTCTGAGATGCCACTCCATACTTCACACTTCACTGATGCTTCATTTTTCCCTGAAAAGGAGATTTTCCACTTGCTCATCAAGTCTATAACTCAATTCTAGCACCTCATTAAAAATTTGTTTTTATTACAGCATTACAGGTATATATAATATTGGGGTTCATTTTGACATGGTCACACATACATGGAATATAATGTCCTGCATTTCAATTCCCAGTACCTGCTCCCTCTCCTCTTCTCTTCTTTTATTTCACTTCCTCTAGCATCTCATTTTGAGAATCAATTCTTGGGTCTCCTTCTAGTACACATTACTGTGCTATTGAGGAAGCAGAAAACATAAAGCATAAAGGATTTCTCAGAGAGGAGTTTAATAAAAGGGCTATTCATAGAAGTGTTAAAATAGGGGAACAGAGGAGGCCACTTATATCCTCAGGCCTGAAGGAGCAAGGACTGGCAGGGTTTCTGCTGAAGCCTGGTAACCTTGGAGCTGTGGAAGGGCTGCGTCTCCACAGGGTCTGTGGCTACAGAGAAGCACATCAACATCAGACCTGTGTTAAAGCGGAGTCAGGCAGGATAAGCACCCAAACCCTTACTCCTTTCATATTTTTGTCTTCTGCAGGTGGCTTCTGCTGTTTGAACTAGAAGCAGAGAGTCAAACAGATGAACCCAGAGAAGCAGTCTGTCCCAGCACAGAGCAGGGCAAAGGAGAAAACAGACTTGTGAAATAATGAATAAACACCGTCCTAGATAGAAGCCAGCTGTTTGCCTTCTCTGTGGTTGAACCTAGGAGGTAAAGGGAAAAAAAAATCATACAATCAAACTGACTGGTTTCAGTTGAACTTCATATTCACAGACACCCCAAGAGATATTCAATGACTATTAAAAATATTATTATATTAAAAATAATTACTTGCAGAAAAAAAGTGGTTTAAAATATGCTGGAGAGGAAAGAAGTTGATTCATTATGCATGATCTTGAATTAATTAATTAGCTAAAACTGTACTGGTTCTATTGCAGTAAGTCCCATGCAAGTTTGTGGAGAACAAAATTCATGTGAATCTAATCCTTATGAAGCTTATATGTAGTCTTGAAGTGACCATATTAAGGAAGCTGATTTTATTTTGTGAATAACAAGAAGCATTATGGTTTAGATGTGAGGTGTCCTCCAAAAGTTTGTGTGTGAGACAGTGCAATAATTTTTAGAGGAGAAATGATTAAATTATAAAAGATGTAACCTGATCAGTGGTTTAATCCACTGTTGGATTAGCTGGGTGGTAACTGTAGGCATTTAGGGTGTGGCTGGAGGGGTAGGTCACGGGCATGCTGTTGAGGTTTATACTTTGTCCCTGGTGTGTGGAGCTCTCTGTGCTTCCTGACTGCCAAGTCCTGAGCTGCTTTCCTTTGCCATACTCTTCTGCCAGAATATTTTGTCTCACCTTGAGTCCAGTTTTATGGAGTTCCCTGACCATGGGCTTAAACTCTGATACTGTGATCCATAATAAACTTTTCCTCCTCTGTCTTTGTTCTTGTCATGTCTTTTGGTCACAGGGATGAAAAAGCTGACTAAAACAAGAAGTTACTCATACTGCAATGTCATGTAATTACTACCAAAGAATCTTGAGGGCAGGAACCCATAACTACCTGGGGCTAATCTAGTGATGAACATATAGTTGATAATAATGTCAACAGTAGTAGAATGACTGAGACTTACATAGATTAAATTATTTGCCTAAATTCATGCAGATATCAAATAGCAGAGATGAATTCAGAAAACCATAACAAGAAGAGAATTGTGTAGTTTTGTTAATAAATCCTAGAAAGTTTCAATATAGGAAATTTATCAAGATAACATTTCAAATTGTTGAATGTAGAATTAAGGAAGGTTTAAGTGGTTGGTCTTTACAGTCAAGCAGTAGATGCTGACTTGAATTTCAACTCAGTTTCAAACAATATCTCAATTATTTTCATTCAGTAGCATCATAACTTAAGGTAGGGTCCCCAAGAGACCCAGCTCCTCAGCTGCCAGGACCCTGTTCCCAAAGTACTATCTCTCAGCTGGCTTTGAGAAGTGGGTGGGGCAGTGGGAGGAATTAACTGCATATCATAAAACTCTTTAGATTTCTTTCATCAGAACCATGGAAACAGTTCCAGCTCTGGTTAGTGGAGGCAGACAGTTCCTCAAGCAGGACCTGCTCTGTTGTTTTACCTGTGAGTTCCAGGGGTGAGGGAGGGGATCAGTATTGTTCAGGGTCAGTAGCATCTGTGTCACCAAAAGACAGAACACACTTTCTCCACATTGTTATAGTGGTTCCCATGACAAAAGAGGAAAAGCCCAGCAGTTCTGGAGGCTGAGGCAAGAGGATTGTGAGTTCAAAGTTAGCCTTAGCAAAAGCAAGGTGCTAAACAACTCAGTGAGACCCTGTCTCTAAATAAAATAAAAAAATAGGCTGAGGATGTGGCTCAGTGGTTGAATGCCCCTGAATTCAATCCTCTGTACAAAAAATTTAAAAATAAAAGGAAAATCCCATGAGCTGTGGTACTGGGTGGCCTGCACATTCAGATACCCAGCTTCCTCCCAGAAGGGACCTTAGTCTAGTCTCAAGAATCCCACAGCATTGAATGCAAGGGATCCTGTGTGTTTGATGGCTGAGACCTTTATGAGAGAGTGCCCAGAAGAAGTCTAGGGGTTTCAGGGAGGGAAAGGACAATGACAACAATTTGACTTCAATGTGACACTAGGCACCCAGATCCTCGAAGCTCTGGGAGAAAGTTGGTAAGGAAATTTGGTTATTTTCTTCTTTCAGTGTGGCCCACTATTAAGAGAGAAATCTTCTCTGATTATAAAGGATTTATTTCCAACAGAAACAGATTTATGATTTTTCTCCCAGTGCCCTTAGTGTTCTTGTTTCCTCCTCTTTTCTTTCAAAGTCAATTGTATATTTGTATAATTGTTTAGTTAAAATATCTACACTTTCCTAATCTTTCTTACAATGAGTTTTTAGCATTCTCTTTATCCTGGACACCTCTTTTTAGATAGTACAGGTTTAAAACTGTTACTTAAATCAAGGTGCTCTGAACTGGACACAACATTCTAAGTGTGGCAGAATAGAAGACACCATTTTCCCTCTGATGACTGTTACTTCTTCTTATATAGCTTAAGTTCTAATTTATCTTTTTGTACTAGGAATTGAACCCAAAGGGCACTTTACCTCTGACCTACCTCACTTTTTATTTTTTGAGATAGAGTCTTGCTAAATAGCTGAGGGTCTTGTAAGTTGCTGAGGCTGGCCTTGAACATGTGATCCTCCTGCCTCAGCTTCCTGAGTCACGGAGATTACAAACGTGTACCACCAGCCTGGCATCTAGTAGCTCTTATTAATCAAATAAGTCAAAAGTTTGACTCATGTCTGTGTCTATACTTCCATCTGCAATAAATCCAGTTATCTATATTTTCTCTGTACTTATTCTTCTCTTATCCTCTATAAATATGTACATCCTTCTTACCGAAGTCTAGGTAGAAGGATGAGCTTGTAATTGCTTCCACAAGGTGAGGAAGTAATGAGGATAGGGAAGAGGAAGAATCAGAGACTAGGAATTATGATGCAGGATCATAGATGGGGACCATACATAAGAGATAGGAAAAAGTAAAGCTAAGGCAAGGATCTTTCAGATATAGAATAAGACAAGAAAAGAGAACAGGCAGAAGGTGAAAAAATAAGTAATGCAGAGTAATCAGATGTGGTTTGCCACAGGGATGTAAGATATCTGAGGCAATTCTCTTTTGTAAAGGAGGAACTACCATGTTGTTTGCTGCTGGTGTAAGTATGAAGGCAAAGGACCTAGTAGGTCAGAGACTGAATCAGAAGTTTCCCACTCAACAGGGTCCAGGCTTTTGGGGCCAGGGAGTCTTTACATGTGGTGCTTAGTTTAAGATGCCTAAAGTCCAACAAGATATCACAAATCTCGCCCTGTCTGCCTCTATCCCTGCCTCTGGCCCAGAGCTTTCTCGGTTTCTATTCACATCTTGCACTTCTTCCTGTGGTTTGGCTTGCCTCAATTCTTCCATCAGTTCCCTTGGATGCTTGGGTTAATGTTTTCCTGTTTTTTTTTTTAAATTTTAACCTCTAAACCCTCAAATTCTCAAAATATAAACATTTATTTCACAACTATTTATTCAGAATCTACTGAGAATTAGGTAGTGTGAACACAGCATGGGATAAAAAGATGAAAACTATATTTTATAGACTTCAGAGATTTTTATAGTGGATTAGGAAAAGAGGAAAGTCAGATGGTGCTGTGTTTTATAAAGTATTTAAATAGGAATAAAATTATTTCCTCAAGGACCTCTTCCTTTTTCTTCATTATCTTTCTTTTTTCTTTATTGCTAGTATTTTTCTTTCTTTAGTCCTTTAACTCTTAGCATAAGAATATTAAAATTTATTGTATTAAACAATAGCACAAACCCAAACTTACCCTTCTGCATTCAGTCAAGCCCGTGGGCTCTTCCATCTATCTTCTTCCCACTGAACTGTTCTTGTGAGGATCAACAGTGATTATCTAATTGCCAAATGCAATGGACCATTTATTTTTCTACATTAATGAAATTCTGTAGTGGACACATCTGGCCACTCCATTTGATTTTCAATTATGGCTCTGGAAATTCCTTTCCGGTTTCCTTTGAATCTCTATAATTTCTGGCTGAAGGATCACTGTTTCTTAGAGTCCATTGCTATGCTTGTTTATATTTTAATCTATATATTCTCCTTAAGAAAATGTGTTAAGTCCTATGATCTGCAGTATACACTATATGCTGATAATTTCCAATTCCTATATTTAACTTTGAGCTTTCAAGAAATTGGAGTTGTGTTCTTCAACATTTCATGTCATAGGTATTTGTTAACTTATATAGATTCCATAAGCTCGATATATCAAAATTGAATCTATAATCTCTGCCTCCAGAGTTACATTAAGTCTTTCCAAAGTCAATTGTTTGTTTTGTGAAATTTACTAAGTCATTTAAGGCAGAAGAGACACTACAATTTTTGAATGCCTACCCTCTCTTCTATATAACTAGTCAGTCTAATCTCTGTCTGTGCCATAACATTGACACTTTTCTACACCCTCAGAGCCATTCCAGATCCATTTATTCACACACGTATCAATTCTCAACTGGACTATTGAAGAGAACAATAACCTGTCCCATTTTAGGATGTTCTTTGCTTCTTTTGGTCCCTTATGTTTGACTATGAAAGAACAATGGAGAGAGATTTAGTATATTGTCCAAAAGTGAAATCATGATCACACATCCAATGGGTGTGTGTGATAGATTAAAATATTTGTTAGGATATGAGAGACTTAAGCATTTTTAATGTCAATGTGAAGAGTTTGAATACCTAAGGAATTGACAAGAATATTGATAGGTCAAAGTTCCTAAGAAAATCAAGGTAGGTAGAATAAAAATCAGGGGTGAATGAATTGCCATTTGAGGGAGGGATGGAAAGTCTATTTTACCATATACTAGTAGGAGAGCAAGGAGTTAGACATTCCTGGATTTATGAGTCTATCATGGGAAATTGAGCAACTTGAATCTGAGGTCTCTGCTGCCTTTGTGAGGCAGTTGGAGAGGTTAAACGAGAAAGGAGCGGTTTAGCATTTGAAAAGAATTTAGAAAGCTTGAAAAAATTGATTGAAAAATTGCTTGAAATGGGTGGAGGAATGAATTATCCAGAGAAGGTTATTGTAATAAACTTGTATATAAAGAGCTCAGTTCAGGTTGGTAGGTATAAATCCTTAATGAAAAGTCTGACTTTGAACCCAACTTTCTATAGAAAGATTGAATTGTACTTGTGCTGACTTGGATTAAGTATGCTCATGATGGGGTGTGCCGGAAGTAGAAGCTAGAATGACAGGGAGTGAGGAACCCTCTTTATATTTGGTCAGTGTTTACTTATGTTTTCCTTTAGTTTAGAATAAGATTGGAAGTATAGCATAGATTTTTCCATCCAAAGTTTACTTTTGTTTATGATAAAAATGAGAGAAATCTAATGTTTTACTACTATCAAATAAATGATATCAGCATCCTTTCTGAAAGTACCATATGATTAACCATGATTTTATGATTTATTTAGTAATTTTAGATTATTCTGTAAATAAGCAGGCATTTCTGGCTTGTAGGATTTATAATTGGTTATTTGCTTTGTCAACATTGGTTAGAAAATTTTTCTTACTTTACTATGTGTATTTTATGTTTTTCATTAGTGCATTATATATAATAGTGGGGTTAATTTTGATGTATTCACAGATGCATGTAACATAATTTGTTCCATTTTACCATGTGCTTTAATTCTTTTCACCACTTTCCTTCTAAACCATTGGTGTAATCTTTCTTATTTGTTATTCTAAACTAACTCCAGAAATAACTTGTCAACCCTGCTCCCATTCATCTGAATATCCACTGATCTTTGCCTTTGTCTGGGATTAATATTTTTTTAATATTTATTTTTTAGTTTTAGGTGAACACAACATCTTTATTTTATTTTATTTTATTTTTTATGTGGTGCTGAGGATCAAACCCAGTGCCTCACCCATGCCAGATGGGCGTGCTACCACTTGAGTCACATACCCAGCACTGGATTAGTATTTTATATCTCATCAATTTTCTGGATGGTAAAGTGTTAGTGAATATTTTGATAACTTTATTTTTTTAAACTTAATTCCTAAGTCTTGTCATACATAAATCCAGGTAAAATCTTCTCAGTTGAGGATTTCTCTCATGAAATTATCCAGTAACTACTCTGCTGCTCCAGTCTCTGAATTCCTCCTCATCTGCTTCCCTAACTACCAGAGTTGGCAGCACTGGCTGTCCCTGCCCCTCAGCCTCCTCTTCCTCCTGGCCATGGGGGCCAACACCACCCTCCTCATCGTCATCTGGCTGGAAGCCTCGCTGCATGAGCCCATGTACTACCTGCTCAGCCTCCTCTCCCTGCTGGACATTGTGCTCTGCCTCACTGTCATCCCCAAGGTCCTGGCCATCTTCTGGTTTGACCTCCGACCCATCAGCTTCTCTGCCTGCTTCCTCCAGATGTTCATCATGAACAGTTTTCTCCCCATGGAGTCCTGCACTTTCATGGTGATGGCTTATGACCGCTATGTGGCCATCTGCCATCCACTGCGGTACCCCTCCATCATCACTAACCAATTTGTGGCCAAGGCTAGTGTCTTCGTTGTGTCTCGGAGTGTTTTGCTGCTTTCACCTGTTCCCATTCTCTCTGCTCGTCTCCATTACTGTGGGAAAAATGTCATTGAGAACTGCATCTGTGCCAACCTGTCTGTGTCCAGGCTTTCCTGTGACAATATCACCCTTAACAGAATCTACCAATTTGTGGCTGGTTGGATCTTATTTGGCTCAGATTTCTTTCTCATCTTCCTTTCCTACACCTTTATTCTAAGAGCGGTGCTGAAGTTTAAGGCTGAGGGTGCTGCAACAAAGGCCTTGAGCACATGTGGTTCCCACTTCATCCTCATCCTCTTCTTCAGCACCATCCTGCTGGTCGTAGTGTTGACAAATGTGTCCAGAAAGAGGGTCCCCATGGACATCCTGATCCTACTCAATGTTCTCCACCACCTTATTCCCCCTGCCTTGAACCCTATTGTATATGGGTTTCGAACCAAAGAGTTAAAGCAAGGATTTCAGAAATTGCTGCAGAGAGGGTTTTGAACACTTACCAAACTCTAAAGAACTCTAAAGGACTCAAAGAAATACCATTTTCCCCCCCATTTCAGGATCCATGATTCCAGGCAATAAACTAATGTGCAGATATTGAATATTTCCTACCTACTTTTTGTCTCTTTAATATCAGGAATTAGTATATCCCTCTTAGTTCTTGATCAAAGTTCAAAGACCTATGTGGTATTATTAACATTTGTAGCTACTTCACTATGACTAGATATCTACATATTCGAATCATCCTATCCTACAAGAATTTTGCATGGTAGGATTATTATTCCATATACTGATAACCATATATTGATAATCTGGTGAGTGGTGGAGCATTGATTCCAGTACAAGTCTGTCTGACTCCAGAATGTTTCCATGGATTTCCACTCCCTCTTCAATCCTATGTTATTTTTTTATCAACCTGATGCTGCCCATTGGCTTTTTCTCTCAGAATAAAATAGGAGCACAGAACCCAGAGACACAGTCACCTTCTTTTTGTGATCATGGCTCTTCAGGCTGTTATCACAAAAGACTCATGATCATAACTGTACCAACCAGGGCCAAGTAGAAGCCTCACATATCTTCAAACACTTATGGGGACCAGAGTGGAAATCCTTGGGGAATAATACCATCAGTGTAGATGGTGGTCAAACCAACTGAGGTACAGGGAACCTCCTGTGTACTCAAAATCATGCTTCATATGCTCTGGAGTTCTAGAGCTTTGAGGGAGGGGACTATAACTATAGTCTTTGGTTAAATCTCTGGATTCATAATCTGATAAAAATGGGTAAGGAAAAAATTTATTATTGTAGTTGGTAACACTTATCTATTTTTCATGTGGATATTAGGAAATTGAGAGTTCAGGTTCATCCAATAACCTTACTGAAAGGAAAGGCATAATTCTTATGTGAAAAATGTCATGAAGTAGAAGCCAGAGCCACTCCATTAAGAGGTTAAAGATTGGTTCAGAGGAGAAACTTCCATGATTGTTAAATTAAAGACATTTGAAATATAGGGTAACAATCCCTTGTTTTAATGAAAAATTATCATTGTTGTTCTATGAAATATCTCTTTAATGGCTAATTATAAATATTGGATGAATAGGCATTTATTAGACAACTTTAGAATATAATAAGACCTTGGTGAATTGTGGGGTGCTAGGGAGCTTCTTGACATCTTTAAATTAAAGTGATCAGAAAGTATTTTAAGGTAATTTCTTTAAAGAACCAGCAAAACTTGATTATCAGTTAAATGTGTGGCATAAATGAGAGAGAGATGGCCAACTGTATTTTCAAGCTTTCATAATGAGACTTCTGTGGGTTCCGTCAGTTTGACTCTGCTTATTAAAAATATATTGGCATACACTTATCTTCTTATGGATAAAGACAGAGATCAGGTTCCCCAGAGCCAAACCTAACTGACCTGGAAGCTTGATCAGGCAATTGTCCTTGCTTAATCCTGTGAGAAAAGTTTCAGTAATGTAGTCTTCTTGAGATATTCATATTAATTCTGGGCACACATCTAATTGTCTTTACACACAAGGAAAAAAGTTTAGTAGACTGTTCACTTTAAAAAAAATCTAAATGCCATGTTAATCTTGAAGGTCCTGATTAGTCACATCTCATTTGAATTCCAATTTCTGGACATCATTGCCCTTCTCTATATATTTTTCTTAAATTCCTTGGATACACTTTAAGTCTCCAAATCACTCTGTCCTCTGGTTCTTTCAGAGGTGTATTCCCTGTCATTGTATTTCATAGTCCTCCTGAGACACTAAAGCTATGGTCATTTCACAGACTTTTCCTGAGGGATGGGGCAGGATGGAATGGGATGGGGTTTATTCTACAAATCCAACTATGATCCTAGGAAGGAGACACAAGATAGATGCTTATACAGTATGGATTTATATTTTCTAGAAGTACTTTAGTTTGCTAAGATAGAACATCACTAAATTTACCCCCTCACTTAAAACAACTGAAAAACTGAAACAAAATATGTAAAAAATAATGACTTTCAAGGCATTGGACATCAGGTCATAGACAGTGATAGGTCATAGACTGAGAGATAGGCAGCTGTAGTGATCCTGAATTAGGAAACAATAAATAGTCTACTATTTATTGGAGAGTTTTCCAGCTCATTATATAGAGATTTCAGGCCATATCAAAGGCCATCTAAGGTATAGCTTAGCTGTCTTCTGTGTTGAGGAGAAGGAGATGGGAGTGAAGGATGGCAAGGCCACTAGGGTTCATAAGACAGAGTGTTAGAAGATAGAACAGAGTAAAAGGAATCCTAAAGATCTACAGAGAAGACCCTTGCGTATTCAGCAGAGTACTGACTGATCGGCATATGCATGTGAGGAAATTATTGGAAAATAGTGGAGGGGAAAACAAAGTACTCATACAATACCATAGGGAGCTCTGAGATGACCTTTCAGAGTGTCTACATTGAGATGTATGTGCCAGGCCTTTCCTCAGTCCCATCAATCAGTGATTGGATGCAGATTGCCCCAGAAAGGAGGCATAACCTTGAGTGAAGCAATTCCTTTCCAAGGGCAAAGCACCGAGAAGAACACAGCACCTGCTATAGGTCTGTGTTTTCATGATTATATCTTTTGGGATGAGAGAAAATGTATTATATAGCATTAGGGGATAAAAATATGAAATGAATTAGATATCTTCTATTAAAGGAAGAAATGCAGAGAGATGATGGCAAGACTGGAATGGGTATTGGATAGACAATTAACACAGTCTGACACATGAGAAAGTTACAATGTTATGAACAATGTTTATACCAATGAACCAAAAACTTGTAAAAATATAAAGGGTTGTAAGAAACTTTATGTAAGAATATTCAAAGATATCAATAGCCCTTAAAAAGTTCAAATACTTTCAGGATGTTGAGACAGGAGAATTACTGGATCTCCTGATTTCAAGACCATCCTAGGAAATATAGTGAGACTCCATCTAAAAAATGTTTAAATATTAATAAAATACCTCTTCCCAACAAAATTACTAGTACCTACGTATGGATTTATAGTTTCAGTAGGATATCCAAAAAAGGAGGGAAATTTACACCACTTATTTTATAAAATCAGAATTACCATGTCTTTAAAAGAAAATGACAATTTAGAAAAGATTCTTTTCATTTATGAAAATGAAAATCCAAATAAAACATGCACTGATAGAATCTAACAGCACAAAGAATCAAATGATGCATTTTGATCAATGAATTTCTATCTAAGGAAGGCAGCATTAATTTTAACATCTATTATCAATATTATTTATGACATTAATGCATTAAAGATAAATTATATAATTACCTTGAATATTAGAGAAAAATTTATAAAATATAACACCCATTTATAACTTTAAACTGTTCTTGAAAATTGAGAAAAAAATTCCTTGATCTGATGTGTCTATTTATCAAGTACCTCATTATTATCACAATGGAGAAACTTCAAAGCATCTATATTAAAATTAAGAATAAAGTCAGTATGCCAAGATCTGCTACTTTTCAACATGGTCCAACCAAAACAATAAGACAGGGAAGAAAGAAGAGTTCTAAGTGCATGCCAATTAAAGTGATCAAGAGTGATATCAGCAAAATGGTAGAATAAGTTCTCTGACTTTAATCCTCCTCACAGAGTCTATCTCGCAACTGTCCACAGATAAGAATGCCTTTCTAAAAGTCCCATAATCTGGGGATGAGGATGATATGCTCCCTTGGACCACAGCAACCAAGAAGAATGCATTAAATGTCAGAAGAGCAGTTTCACTTTGAGCACCTACTACCTCCACCCTGCCTCCCCCAGGAAAGCACTACATCATGCCAAGGTGGTTCTCCTGGACTACACCTTTTTCAGTGAGGAAAAGAGGGCCTCAGGCAGATATCCAGCTTCCCCAGCATTCTTCAGTACATCCTGGGATCTCACTTGACTTACTTCGTGAGGAACATGGGGAACTGGCAGGGTTAGATCACCTTGGTGCAAGTAGAAACAAAGCAGAGGAATAGATTCTCAGGGATCACTGTGTGGATCTTGGTGGTGGCACTGTATTCCTGCTGGTAGCAATGCCTGACCTGCCTTTGGCTTTTCCTACCTGTGGAGCTGAGCTGGTTTCTACTTGGCTGGGAAGCAGGCTTGAAAATTCTTACTGGTTGGATCTCCAGCCAACAGTTTGGCCTTGCTACACAGCCCAGCCTAAGGCCCTGTCCAGACAAGGAGGCAAGCTGGCAATCCCACCTGACTGTGGAAGATATCCTCTGACCCTAGTAAGCCAGAGAATCCAAAGAATACCCTCCCCAACCTCAGAGCCCAGCTGAAGACTAATTGCATATCATACTTTGTAGCTCATCATCATCATAAAGGAAAATCTGCATAGACAAAAGATTAGGACAAAGGACTAAAATTTATGCCACTCCAAAAGTCATCACAGGAAGACATCAAGAGAGAAAGAAAGAAATTGCCAGTTATTAAACAGTAAAATGGCAACAGCAAGACCTTACCTATCAGAAATTACTTTTAACGTAAATCGATTAAATTTCTAATCGAAAGACCTTGTATAGCTAAATGGGTTAAGGAACAAAACACAAAACAAAACAAAACAAAACAAAACAAAAGAAATCCTATATTTACTGCCTGCAAGGAATTATTTTAGATTGAAGGACCCTTAAAGGTTGAAAGTGAAGTATCAGAGAAAGATATTCCATGAAAATGATAACCAAAAGAGAGTAGGAGTGGTCATACTTAGAAAAAAAAAACAACTTTCAGCCCCAACTGTAAGACAAAGAAAGTCACTAGATAGTGATAAAAGGATAAATTCCTCAAGAAGATATGACAACTCTATATATTTGTGTACCAAACACTGGAACACTTAAGCATTTAAAGCAGAACTGTAAGGAGAAATAAACAGCAATATAACCATAGTAGGAGCCTTTAATATCCCACACTCAACAATGACTATACACCATGCCCACAAGGGACTCATCTTTGGGATGCAAGA